CAACCCAACCCCCCCTCCCCCCCTAATCCTAACCCCCCCTCCACCCCTAATCCTAACCCCACCCCCACACCTAATCCCAACCCCACACCTAATCCTAAAGCCAACCCCCACACCTAATCCCAACCCCACCCCTAATCCTAACCCCACCCCCACACCTAATCCTAACCCCACACCTAACCCTAAACCTTCCCCCACACCTAACCCCTCCCCCACACCTAATCCTAACTCCTCCCCCACACCTAATCCTAAACAACACCGGCCCTAGCATTTTGGGGACCCTAAACAGAGTTTGGGAGGGATCGTATACATCTTACACGGACACTTTATATAAAGCATGTTATTTTAGTATCATTCAGGTGCTATTACAGTTTTTGCTAATATATTGAATTATTTTTTATATTTTCTGCTGTCATTTTCCCTTTAAAGTTTTAGTAATTGTATTGTTTGTTTTTGTTGTCTTTATTAGTTTTGTTTATTATTTAGCCGCTAAACTCTGGGTTTTCAGTTCAATGGTTTTCAGCGAATGAATTCAAACAATCCGTCCAAAACAGTGCTAATAAACCAGGCTGATTACAAAAGAGATTGCAGAGAGAACAGAGACTAGCGTTGCGTTTTCAGTGAATTATTCCAGTGTGTTTCTCTTTAAAACACGAGCTCTGCCATATTCTGTGATTGTCTCTGAAGAGTGTGAGCCCTCACATGTCGCGCTGTGTGAAGTACAGACTGAACGTAATGTCAACACATCCCACCGCTGTATGCCCAGATGCGACGCGAACTACGGTTTCTCGACTGGATAACCACCAGTGTCTCGCTAGTAAAGTTTTGATGGATGAAGACTGCAATCAAGATGAAGACGATTGCAGTGGCGACCACTCAAAAATGATGTTACTAAAAATGACCTTGTGCTTGTCTCTTCTCATCGTCATCCCTGTTTTCTGCGCCTGAAGGATAGATTTGTTTCATTTTCGCGGTCCAATTTCCAAAATAAATCAATGTCCAGGGAATGGGCAGATGGCAAAGGCCATGTATATCAGTGACAGCAGCGCTCTTTGCAACGTAATGACTCGGACCACTAGTGGGGCCCACCCCCCACCCCTAGAAAATGGTGATTCCAGCTACTTTTCTGCACTTTTGTCCAGTTTACAAAGCAGTTCACAATGGAGATGTTGGAACTAGTTGCCACCTTAATTATAGAATTTGTGTCATTTTAAAGCGACTCGATTAGTGTCCAGCATCAATCACGAACAGCGAAGCTATGACTTCAGGTTTCCCACCCTCATTGCTCAATACTACATTTCCCATCATGCTCTCGTAAAAAGCCCCCCCCCCATCTCCTCTTTTCACAGAAAGCACTGAAATCAGAGGTTGGTTAGCTGCTTCACTGAAGCGATGGATGTGTGTTGATCTGTCGGTATTTTGAGTCACTGAGTCTCAATAACCGGACGGACTCTTTTATGCATGTGATTCACTATGCCGCCTCGCAAGAAGGAGTACGGAATAAAACAAGCGAGCGGATCCCTGGTCCACTTCAGACCGTCCGTGAGCGCGACCACCGTTCGCCGACACTCCGCCGTCGTTCCTTCGGTGCTGACGTTCGCCGTGATCGTGGCATCCGGAGGCCTGTTGCTCCTGATAGAGAAAGGAATGCTGAACAGCGTGCAGACTCCGCCGCCACGCGCCGACGGGAAGAAAGTGGAAACCCGACCGAGGCATATTGACGCGGCTGTGGACGTGGAGTCTCAGGTAAGGTAGTCGAACAGAGACACAAGTTTGCTAGATTGTGAATAAACAGTGGCATATTTTGTGAAATTCATAAATATTTTGATATCTTTGCATGTAGTCGTCAGACTTTCCTCGAGATTCGCGAGTCTGTACTGCAGTGAATTTTCACGATAACTCGGGCTGCGTCTCAAAACATAGTGAGCTTTCTACCTAGTCAACAATTCTGTTCAATACAGTGTCCCCAATTATTACTTGCACAATTTAGCCACACGTAAAATGTTTAAAAAAGTTTGTTAGGTTTAATATGAAACGATAGATACACTTTTAAAATGTCAAAGCAATAGGTCACAAAAAATGATCAGAAAACTGAAGTTCTCTGATTTTCATTTAAAACTCTAAAAGTGTATTTGTACTGTACTTTTGGACACTATGTAAAAAATTATTTTAAGGTGCAAAAACCGATTATTCCTATTTATATCTGTCCTATTATTACTCCACTGTTAATGCATCTATGGATTTAGTTAAAGTTGGTATGTGGAAAGCATCTTTGATGGAACAGAGAAGCTCCATATTTCATTCCAGAAAATATTAAACAGCTGCTTACCTTCAAGCCAAGATATGAAATATGAAACTTTGGGCCAATTCTTTCAAGGTAAGATCCCTGCTGTGCTCTTGACAGAAGAGTACAATCACATGACCGTTAAGCTACCTTCTCTGATCTCTCTCAACCACTGATAAGCAATCTAGATTTTGGTGTTGCCTATAGTAACCATTATTGTAAAGTTTTTACATGTATTCACTATTCAGTAGGTATAATCACTTTAATGTGTTTTTGTTTTTTTGCAAAATGGCAACTGAATGTGTGAAGTGAGCACTCTTAGGTTGATAGGTGTAAAACTGTGTAAAAACCAGAGGATCTAGAGCCTTTGAAGTGGCTGGTCCCATCATCTGGAACAACTTACCAGTTCACATCAGAACACATCCACATCCACTTTATCTGAGTTCAAGTCATATCTTAAAACACATCTTTTCTCTCTGGCTTTTAACATGTAGTAATATGCGCCTTTGAATTGTTTTAATCTGCTTTTGTTGTTGTATGGATTTT